ACCTCTTGGAGGAGGAATGTGTGCCAACAAATGGTGTATGATATTCCCCATGCATGGAGCCGAGGGGGCCGCGTACGTTGTAGGAGAGTTCGTGTGCGAGAGAGAAGGAACAAGACCGTCTTACCCAAGTCTCTCGACCAAGTTGAAGGAGCGTTTGACCCTCGGTCAATCGTATCGTTCGGACGTCGATGAGAGGAAGTTGCTAGGGATAGCAGCTCAGGTGGAGAGTATCAGAAGATGTACTCGTAACATGCGTGGCCTCAGTCCTGCCAGGGGGCTGAGAGCAGGCGAAAGGCTACCTCATTCCGGCACGAATAGACGTCGACGGGGGGTGTGTGGAGGAGAGCCCGCGGTCGGGGGTGGATTGGAGGATACGGACGAGAAGGTCGAAAAGGTCACTCGTTAGCAGCAGGGGGGGGGATGTTGGAGGATGGCGAAATAGGAAAAAGAGGTAGATGCAGAGTTACCAAAAGGTAACGAATGGCCTATAACAGGGCACCTGTTTTTTCCTCGAAGGAGAAGAGGGAAGAGAGAGAGAGCGAAAGGCACAGGAGGCTTTTGGGGGTGGGAGGTATGTGGTATGGTGGATGGACGGTGTCAGGCGGGTGGCTCGTAGGCGAAGAGAAGCCCCAGGGCAGGCGGTTTGCGCGCCGACAGTGAACGAGCTGGCGACTTTTTGGTGGTCGGCTGATGGTTGATGGTTGGCCTGTCTGGCCAGGATTAGAGGGGGGCGGGCAGCTGGACCTGTTTAGGGGTAAGGGGAGGATCAGAAATGGGACTGCAGGTGGCCACAGAGAGTTAGAGAGGCTTGGATAGGTAAATGCACAGGGAGGGCCACTCAGAAAGACCACTCAGAGACCCGGACAGGCAAAAAGGCCTTCTCTGCTGCATTAGTAGGCAAGTAGGGGCCATGCCATTGCAAGCTTGGGTTCCAGGGGTTCGGTGGAGAAAGATGGTAAGGTGCAGTCTGGTCTGGAGAGAAGTACGAGAATGTACGACGGGTATGCGCGCCCCTTCGAGTTACCCGTGCACACACCACCACGTACATGTATGTAATCTGTACACTGGTTCGAGTAGGCCTACTAACCAGCATTACTATGCCTGCTCACTACTCGCAGTGCTACTCTAGTAATACCGTATACCAGCGCTCAGCACGTCTAATAACCAGTACCGTCTAATCTGCACATGAGACTGGATCAATCGAATGCAGCGTCCATACGTCCGAATGTCATGCCCTGCGGCGCCTTCTGTCCATGGCCCTGCGTGGCCACTGGCAGCTGCCACACCCGCTCTGTACGGGATCCAAGGGCCAACGGCCACTAAAGCGGTCTGTTCCCAGTAGCGGGGGTGCAGACCCTAGAGTAGCAGGTACAGACGGATGCCCGTACTTTGCCTGCATTGAGGCGCGTCTTTGTGGGGATGGAGAGGCCCTTGGATGCGGATTACTTGTGATGCTTGTGGCTAATAAGAGCAGCCTACTCAGGGCTCAGGAGTACGGAGTGTTATTATTATACATATTACTCGTACCCGTAGTGTACCGGGACTATCAGTCACTATTTGGCGCCACTTATAGCACGCTCTGTCCACTATTTCCATGCTACTCCGTAATACAGATTTCCATCATCCCTCTACCCATGTTTATGATAAGACGTGTACCTCTCTACCCATCCATACTAAGATTACTTCGAATCCGTAGTCGTCTTCTATATCCGAGAGTTTACAGCATTCGAAATGACAAGTGCAGTGGTAATTACAGGTACAGAGTGATGCTACGAGTAATACTGCCACTAGCCACCCGTACAGTTGGAGGGAAACACTGCTGCAAACCGCCTGCATTACGTGCCCCGTACGGATGCAGGGGTTGAACAGCGCGTTGCTCTGCTCACGGCGTGCTCAAAGGGTCGAATAACAATAACAACAACAACAACAACAACAACAGCAACAACAGCAACAACAGCAACATTACGACCTTGCTATTATTACTCGTACATGCAACTGTGTACTAATATACAGATTATATATATACATATATATATATATAGTCTTGGCCCTCTTTCACTCTGATACGAGTGCGACAGAGTGTCTACACATGCTCCGTACTCGTACAGCTGTAATCTGTACAATATTAGCAGCCGCATCAGCATCGAGCTAGCCACGGAAACAGTTGACCCTAATTTCACTCCTCTCCACCGTCGACTCCCCCCAGGGCCTGACGCCACTCATTATCGATACTTCCTCCCGAATCGGCACTTGACGCGCTCCAGGCTTCAATGTTCTTGCCATGGACCTAAAACACCGCCAAGTGAGATGATACTCGTCAACTTTAAACTTGTACCGTACCTGTGGACTGCGCCCGTACGAGTATTAGGTCGCGTGCCTCCAATCGCGGCTATCCTGACATACCACCGTTGTTGCTCCGTACATGCTCCGTGCTTGCCTCCCTTATATGTACGCCATCATGCCGTCCAACCGTGGATTGTATCACGGCAATCCACGCCAGAGACATGATCGACAATGGGTCCTGTCAGTCCGTCCCTCCAAGCCTCCTCCTCCGAAGTCCTCCCTGCTTAGCTGTACATGTGACATTACCGGCTACCTGCCGCACCTGTCCGGAGCTCTGCATGTTTTGCGTCGTATCGTCGATATTCTAATAGCCGTTCGCGTCAGCAGTACTCGTACCGTCTGTCCTCTCTCAGATCTCTCTCTGCAGCTGTATCTCTTGTCCCAAGACATCCCACACCAACTCTATGAGTGCTCGCGTCGGTCACCGTCACTAGCTAATACTACTGGTCCTACGGATACTCCCTCCGTACGAGTATCACAATCTCAATTATATAAGGCCCGTTACTCGCGCCGATGCAGCACCCAACCTCTCTCCAACCCTGACCATGGAAGACATGATAGTCATCAATCATATCATGCCCATTGTTTCATGATATTGCACGCTGTAAATCCCCATCAGGATGCATTCACCCTCTACGACGCGCTCCCATGTAATACTTGTTACAAGCACCTACTCCGACTTAGTCTCTCAGGCCAAGCTGACAGCCAGTCCACCAACCAAACACTGAAGTCCCTAATTTCACGTTCTGCACGACAATCTCCCATGCCAATTCACCCTCCCACCCCTGTAGGAGTACGGCTCAGGTTCTGGAAACAAGACAGTCGTCTGTCAATCGCGGTGGCAAGGATGCGCGAAACGCCCCCCTCCCCCCCTTTCCCCCCCAAAAATTTTTTTTGATGGTGCCGTGTGTAAGATGCCTACCCTGCGGCACAGACGACGGGCGTGGGAGAGTCACGATCGATGTCGAGTTGGCCATGTACTCGTAGCGAGCAACGACGATATGATATGCGTCTTTCGTATTGTCGATGCAGCATGTTGAACGAGGGTGGTTTTATACGTGCAGTACTAGTGGCAGGTGCTGTCGGGTCCATGTTTCATTCTGTACTTCACATGTGGTCGGTTGCTTGCCGTTTGACGAACAGAGACAGAAGAAGAAGAAAATTGAGTATCAGAGGGGGAAAAGTCCATAACGAGAGTCGAGTAGGAGATGAATATACCGGCATCACCCTCATACACGACGCACGAGACTAGCATCACGTCGTTGCACCGCATGCACCATGAGCCTCGGCATTCTACACGTAGGTCCAAGTCTGTCGGGCTGGGGCACGATTAGCGGCCAAAGCGGTGATGTCAGCGAGCCGAAGCCACCCACCACCACCTTTCGCACGCTCTCCACATTCATTCACATCATCATACCATCAACCTCAGTCTACTAATACTCGTCCCGACTGCCACCACCACCAACACTGCCGCCAACCTCCACGTCTACTGCAATGTGCTGAACTCTCCACCTCAAGGCAGTTATATGAAGAGAAAGAAACCGCTTCGGGATGGATGACTTCACCGCCGAGATCCTAGCAAGCGGGCAGGACAATACGGCACCAGCCCAACCGCAGGTTAACGATGAGCCGCCCGCGCCTCGCCGGAGCCTGCGGTCCGGGTTCGCGGCAAGGGCAAGTATCCAGGATCGTCTAGTAGAAAAGTGGGTAGCACACTCCCTCTACATAACCATGTCGCCGGTGCAAGCCAGAAACAAAGACTGACGGAGAGTTTCACATCAGACTCCTCCAACAGGTGGTACCTGTAGATGATGACGTCGGACCGGACGGCCTCGTGGGCAGCGAGGACCAGACGTCGTCGGCCTTCGTGGAGCGCCCCAACTTTAACCTGACGACCATGTCCAACAACTTCCGGCGGTTCAACGCGCGCATAGGCGTCGTCTTCAAGTTCCAGGCCGAGGTGATCCGTCTGCTGTCGTGGCACCGCCCCTCGCAGACCATGTCCCTCCTGGCCGTGTACACGTTCGTCTGCCTGGATCCGTACCTGCTGTCCGTGCTCCCGATGGTCGCCCTGGTCCTGGGGGCGCTGGTCCCGGGCTTCCTGGCAAGGCACCCGGCCCCTCCCAAGGGCACGCTATCGAGTGAGCAAGGGCTGGGGTACTCGGCGGGCGGGCCGCCCCTTGCGCCGGCGGCGACGGTCCGGCCGGTCAAGGAGCTGAGCAAGGACTTCTTCCGCAACATGCGCGATCTGCAGAACGTCATGGAGGACTTCAGCGTGGGCCACGACCAGGTGGTGTCGCTGCTGGTGCCGCTGACCAACTTCAGCGACGAGGCGCTCTCGTCGGCCGTCTTCCTCGTGCTGGTGGTCGGCGGCGTCTTCATGACCATCACGGCGCACCTGCTGCCCTGGAGGTTCATCGCCCTGGCTCTGGGCTGGGCGGCCATCTGCTCCGGCCACCCGGGCGTGTCGCGGCTGCTGGCCGCCACGCACCGCGACCATCTCAGGAGCCGTGAGGAGGAGGCCAGGTCTTTCTGGGACGCGTGGGTGGCGGGCGACGTGATACTCGACTCGGCCCCGGAGACGCGCGAGGTCGAGGTCTTTGAGCTGCAGAGGGTGTCGGACGACGGCAGCGAGTGGGAGCCCTGGCTGTTCACCCCGTCGCCCTACGACCCCCTCTCGCAGCCGCGCATCTCGGGCGACAGGCCCCGCGGCACGCGCTTCTTCGACGACGTCCTCGCACCCGAGGGCTGGCAGTGGAGCGAGAAGAAGTGGGCACTCGACTTGTGGAGCAGGGAGTGGGTGGAGGAGCGCATCATCACCGGCGTCGAGGTCGAGACCGAGGGCGAGAGGTGGGTCTACGACATGTACGACGACAGGGACGACCAGACGGGCGTGGTGGAGGCCCCCGAGGCCGCGAAGCCGAGACCGCCCATCCTGCATCCTAGCTGGGAGGAGGGAGAGGACTCGTCCGTTAGGAGAGGGAGGTGGCGGAGGAGGAGGTGGGTGCGGCTGGTGAAGCGCAAGGCCACATCGGCGACTACATTGTAAGGGACTGTTTTGTGAAGAGAAGAATCCGATGTCATGATATCCATACATCTATCGTGTACGCCTTTGTATTCCGTGTGTGTATGCATGTCGTATGTGTTCCCCGCCCAGCCCGTCTCGTCATGGTCATCATCCGTACGCAAAGAGAAAGTCACGTCAGAATAAGTCGTCTACTGCCTTGTCCGCATCCTTTTCGATCAACTCCTTCATACCCTGATTAAAACAAACCAAAAAAAGGCAGAGTTAGCCTCACTCTCGCACGTACATATTCACGCATGTCCCGGACTCACGTCGGGCATGATGGGCTGGCCATTCTCATCCGTAACGTAGCGGAACGGCATCTCGGTGCTCTCATGCTCGTTGAACCTGAGTTCGGGAAAGTCGACGTACGGGACTTTGTCGAGGGCAACTGTGGCAATAACGTCAGCTCCTCTGTCTCTCCTCCCTCGTATAGGGCATCCTTTTCCACATCCCCGGGGGGGAGACGACCAACCCTTGTCCTGCACGACGATGCGGGTGACGCGAACTGCTGTGTCGGTAGTCATCTGCTTGGGGCCGAGCCTGCGACCCTCGAAACCCTTTTTACGCAGCTCGGACGTGCGGTCTTGGGGCCATTCTGTTAGTTGACTCTTTTTTTTTCTTTCTCTTTTCTCTTCTTTTCTTCCAATTTCTTGTTCCATTTCCATTGTCCAATATCAACATGCATGGGTTGTCTAACCTCGTGGGGGGTCATCGCCTATCAATCAAATAAGTCAGTTTCCCAAATGTCTTTTTTGTTTCTGTTTTTTTGTTATCACACTCTCTCATCTATAATGCATTTTGAAGAGGTGTGAGGAAGATGGAGTGATGACGCTCTCTCTCTCTCTCTCTCTCTCGCGTGACATACCCAGGATGCCACCGAACAGAAACGCATCAAAGACATCACCGTCCTCGGGAGACAGATCCTTGGACGCCGACGGGTCGAGCAGACACACGCGCGACTTGTCAGAGGCATAGAGCTCCTCCACGCCACGCTCCTCGGCTGCGAAGGCATCGTTGGCCTCTAGCGCGGAGGGGACCTTGAATCCCGTGGGCAGGCTGGACAGGATGAATTTGCTGCCCGTGGCCTTGGATTCCTTGCCGATGGTCAGGTACTCGAGCTCGGACCAAGGACCCAGTTCCGGGTCGAGATGTTCGACGATGAAGGTCTTTCTGGAGGTCATGGTCGGGGAGATTGTTTGTGGGTATACTGTCCGTCTTTTTGTCGTTTCGCCGTGATAATGTATGGTCCCCCCTTCGTCGGATTCTGGTGGCGGTGGTCATGATGAAAAAAGAAGTTTGGAAGTATTTTAGCGTCCCGCCCCCCACCACTCTTGCAGTGTCGTCATCAGGTCCAGAGGGATGCTCCCCCCTCCTTTTCTTCTCTTCATCCTTGCTTGCACTTGACTCACTATGCTCCTGCACCCTCTGAGGATGCTTACATCTCGAAGCAACTATCTTGATGATATTTACTGCGACACAGCTATTGGCATTGCCATGCCTGTATCGATTGGTTGTAGCTAGGGTGTGCCGTTGTAGAGCCGTCGACTGGATGTGGGAGAGGGGAACACGCTCATGCTGACGAGAAATGCTTGCGCTTTTGAATAGGATGCGCCCTAATGCACACCCGTCTGAGGGGCAGCATCCTCCCCCACCTAGCACCGGTGTCGCCGTCAGCGAGCGAGAATGTCTGCTAGCAGTACTCGCACTCTGATGATGCCTGACTGATAGTGCTGATAGGTACAGCAGAGCCAGAGAGCCAGTCCATGGCACATCCGTCTGCGTCAGTGCTGCGTGAAAGGTCCCGGCAATGACGTGTGTCGTGACGAAGGCGATCACGGCGCGTGCTTTTAGAAGATTGGATGTTTTGAACTATCACGACTACCCGAAGCGCTACAATGTCACCTTGTGCAGGAGCAATTCAGGAAGCCGTCGTTCCATTCAATCCTAGCTGTGGCTCCTAAAGGTCCTCTATACCTACCTATCCGCCCAACTGATTCCCACTACATCCAGCCTGTTCTATCCACCATAGCCCCTTCCATCCGTCCCGCAATGGTAGGGTTGAATAGCTGCCTGCCTCGTGTTCTTCTCGTTGCGTTGGGCCTTGATAGATCGGGTGATAGGCCTCAATGACAGGTTGGCTGCTCATGCAACAGCAGCCATCTGCTATAACGTGCCGCAACAGATATGTGTGCTTCTAGTGGGCGACAACACACGGTGACTCGTAGACGCTGATATAATGGTCTCTACCTACATATACGTCCTACGTCCTGTATTAGTAGCAGCCCTCTTAGTGTCATGGAAGATCGTGCGTAGATTAGATAAGCCAGGTTCGACGATAGAACCGTCGTGTCTAACGTCGCGGTAATAAAAAGACAGGAGCTCAACACCACATAACAACTGACCTACCTTAAAACGTACGTCAGCCGTATCTGCAGGGTGTCCTCACCATAATCTTTCATCATTCAGCTCTGTCCAGTTTTGGCATACCTCCTACGCTGGCTGGAGACTTCGTCTCGGTTTGAGACGTCTTTTGACTCTGTACATTGTCTTGCGTTGTGGGTTTCTCAGAGGAAAGTTATGAGTAAATAGTAGTGAGAGAACACTCCGAATACGGCAAGCATAAGTCATATGAGCTCATTCTTCTCCTGAATAGTGTGACAGTCTCCACGAGCGGGGAGATGGCTAGATGTTATAAGATCTTGCTCTAGAACAGCATTGCATTCGTTGGGCGATGAGCGAACTGCACGCACACTTATGGAGGCGGCTTGCAGCCGTTGGCTTGTGAGGGTTCCGTACTTGTTCCTCTCTCCTTCTCTCCTCCAACCCGTTCCCCGCCATGTTGGTTGCATGTAGCCGCCGAGGGCAATGGTACCGTTGATCTTGAAAGGTAACACTAATTACATGGCCACGACTCTAGCCGGTATAATGCATGAGAGCGGTGCTCGGGGAGGGGGGACCAAGACCGGTGCCTGGGGCACCCCTTTTCGTGCCCCAGGACTGCGACACACGCACCTAACCTTGTAATCCTGATTTGATATCGTGGGGGAGCACAGACGCAGAGGAGAGAGTCAGAGGATAGAGTACGAGTGCCAGTATTACTAACGATGTCTGCACTCGTGCTCGTAGGATCCGGATGTATTATATGTAATCTGTATTTACAACCAGGCCATCATCAGATGGAGCCGGGGTAATATTACTCTGCACATCCATCCTCTCCTCATCAGAGTCAAGTCAGTACATGTGTACGGAAGGCGAAGTACAGGAAATACATACAGGCACAGGTGTCAACTCGGGCCAAAATGAACATCAATAGAGGCAGGAAAATTTTAGATTCATGTTCTCATGCTCGCTGTACGAGTACGTACTTACCACGGACAGGCTATTGCTCCATCGGGGCCTTTTGGGGGTCTTTCGAGGAGGGAGCTCTCTCTCTAAAACGGGGGGCTACGGGTATTATCAGTAGTATTAATACCAGGGGAGGACCGAGAGGCTAGGGGGCCCCTTGGCCGGGCGCCAAATGGAAAAGGGATAGATAAAGTGATCCACGCAAAGATCCATCAAGTTGCGTATTGATATTTGGTTTTGATCATTTGTATGGTCTTGCTGTATTATTACTCCATATTGCCTGCTCTATTTCTTTCTCCATATTATTGACTGTCACGGTCACGAGCATGAGTACATGGGAGCAGTACTACGAAGCCTACGTGCAGTACGAGCACTGTAGGTGGCAGTACGGAGTAGCAATACCTACCTGTATTGCCGTGTATCGCAATGTATTGCAGTGTTATTACCACGTCGTATTGCCATTAGTTCGTGGTTAATGCCACCTCTGTTTAAAACGCTACCGGACCCTCCCGCCATCTAACCTCCGACGCCTTTTGGAGCCTCCGCCGCCCCCTGGGATCCCTCTCGCTTCCTTTTCTCTTCTGCCATCCCCCAACGGGCCCCTGGCCAATTTCTCGAACCATTTTGAATTCTGTCCCATGATCGGCCTCGTCGACGGGATTATCTCTTAGGCGCCTGCGTTTTGGGTGGGCAGTCGTCCCCTTCTTCTCTTCCCCCCTTCTTTCTGGACGTCGCCGCCCTCCAACAACCCCCCCGACTTTCCCGCACGCGCGTGCTGTCGTCATGGTCCTTCCTACCATGCGGCTGTGGTCCGCTGCCTTGGCGCTGACCCTGTGGCCCGCCGCTGCTATTGCCGAACCCTCGGCCGCCGACTACTATGTTCGCGATCTTCCCGGTGTCCCCGAGGATGCGTCGCCCATCAAGATGCATGCTGGGTGAGTTGCCATGGGTCGTCCCTGCCCATCCTTCGCCTTCCCCCGCCAAGCTGACGTGTCATGGCCATCACCACACAGCCACATCGAGGTCAACCCTGAGCACCACGGAAATCTCTTCTTCTGGCATTTCCAGAATGCCCACATCGCCAACAGGCAGCGCACCGTCATCTGGATCAACGGCGGCCCCGGCTGCAGCTCCGAGGACGGCGCGCTCATGGAGATTGGCCCCTACCGAGTCAAGGATAAGGACCACCTCGTGCTGAACAATGGGTCGTGGAACGAGTTTGCCAACCTCCTCTTTGTCGACAACCCCGTCGGCACCGGCTTCAGCTACGTCGATACCGATAGTTACATTCACGAGCTGGACACCATGGCTGAGCACTTCCTCATCTTCCTCGAAAAGTTCTTTGCCATGTTCCCGCACTACGAGCTTGATGACGTGAGCTTTCTGTTCCCCTCCAGAAGACGCATGCTATCCGCTTCCTCCTCTAACCTGCTTCTTCCAGCTCTACATTGCCGGAGAGTCCTACGCCGGCCAGCACATCCCCTACATCGCACGGGCGATCCTGGACCGGAACAAGAAGGAGAAGGACAGGCAGTGGAACCTCAAGGGCCTGGTCATCGGAAACGGCTGGATCTCCCCCGACCACCAGTACGACGCCTATCTCGACTACGGCTACGAAAAGGGCCTCCTGAAGAAGGGCTCCGACCTGGACAGGGACCTGCAGGCCGACCTGGTCAAGTGCAAGGAGCTGATAGCCGGAGACCCGGGCCACGTCGACTACGGCAAGTGCGAGAAGATCCTTAGCAAGATGCTCTACGGGCTTCGCGATGGCTCCGGCAACGAGGAGTGCATCAACATGTACGACATCCGCCTCCGGGACTCGTACCCGACCTGCGGCATGAGCTGGCCCCCGGACCTGGAGCACGTGGAGCCCTACCTCCAGAGGAGAGAGGTGACCGAGGCCCTCCACGTCAACCCCCAGCGTAACATGGGCTGGACCGAGTGCAACGGCAACGTCGGCAACGCCTTCAACGCCAAGAACTCGCGACCCTCGTTCGAGCTCCTCCCCGGCCTGATGGAGGAGCAGCTGCCCATCCTCCTCTTCTCGGGAGCCGAGGACCTCATCTGCAACCACCTCGGCACCGAGGCGCTGATCAATGACCTCGAGTGGAGCGGCGGCAAGGGATTCGAGCTCAGCCCGGGTAACTGGGCACCCCGCCGGAACTGGACCTTCGAGGGCGAGTCGGCCGGATTCTGGCAGGAGGCGCGCAACCTGACCTACGTGCTCTTCAACGACGCATCCCACATGGTGCCCTTTGACTGGCCCCGCCGCTCGCGCGACATGCTCGACCGCTTCATGATGGTGGACGTCAGCAGCATCGGCGGCGAACCCTCCGACAGTCACATCGACGGTGAGAAGCTCCCCGAGACCGCCGTCGGCGATAGCAAGGGAGAGGATCACGACGACGGTGACCACGACGAGCACGACGAGCACGACGACGACGACGACGACGACGACGACGAGCACGACCACGCCAAGTGGGAAGCCTACAGGCGCTCCGGCAGCATCGTCCTCGTCATCGTCATCGTCGCCACCATAGCATGGGGGTACTTTGTCTGGACGCAGCGACGCAGCAGCAGGGGCAGCAGCGGCGCCGGCGCTGCCTCGTACCACTCCCTCGGTGGAGCTACCGAGATGAGAGGGATCCGAAGGAAGCCTGGCGAGGGAGACCTTGAGGCCTCGGCCTTTGGCGAGAGCGAGGACAACCTGAACGCCCCGACGGGCAGCAGCAGAGGTGGTGGCGGCAAGTACACCATCGGAGATGAGAGTGATGATGACGAGAAGCCTCCCAAGGTGAATAGCGGACCGGGAGTCTACGTCGTGAAATGATCTTCTTTTTACCTTGTTTTCGTATAACCCCCAACAACCTTTTTTCATCATTACAAGTATATTTCATGTCATCAAGTAATCTATCTTCATACCTTCCGCTTTCTTTCTCGTCTACCAAGTCTGCCCTTTCTTCTGGAGTAATAAAGAATCTGATAGAGCACCATCCCTGGCCGAGCTTTCACATGATATTCACTACCACCACCACCACCACCCCCACCACTACCGTACCGATAGGAGACCGTCAAGCATCACCGCAACGATCAAGCCTGTCCAGGCATATCGCGAGGCCGCGAGCCCCATGGTCGCCCATGGAACTCGAGGGAGTGAATGCCCTGCCCAGAGACCTCCGGGGGAGAGTCCAGTAACCGTGCTCGATATGAACCGGCTGCCCGGGCTGTTACAGCTGCTACACCACCCCCAGTGGACGGCGTGGATGGGATAGTGCTCAGCGCGCGCACCCCAGCGGCCGTCTGGCCTGATATAAAAGTGAATTTTGCACCTTTTGGCAGTTGGCAGTAGCTGCTCGCCCCGCTACAAGGTGACTGATTACCTTTCCAGGCGATTTCGTCCTCACCCATACAAGGGTTAATGAAGACGGTAATATAAGATCCTGCCGTGTACCATGGGATCTTCTCGTCCTCCCCCCCCCCCCCCCCCTCGCTACCCTCCCCTTTCTCTCTTCACAATTCTCTTTTTCTTCAGGCTCCCCCCCCCCCAAGTGTGTTTTGACTGTTTCTTTCGCCAGGACTTGTCCGAGAACAAGGTAATCCACGGTATGATGTCATTATATGTCATATAAACGTGATGCTCCTTGCTTGACAGTAGTCGAAAGCACTTTCATCCAGAGTTGTACCACCGCACACTTGACACTCGACTGACACAGAGGACTTCATAGATCATGACTGGTTGGGGCCCCGATCCGCATCTTCCTACCCAGGATGCCCCGGGCTGGAATAGCAGAGGCAACGACGCTGTCGATCAGAGCGGTGGCGGAAATGCCAGCTGCAGCGGCTGTGGTCAGGCCAGGTGAGCGTGCCATATCTTGTCCATCTGTAAAAACAAAACGGATCGTCTACTTACACTGCGTCTTCTTCCTGCTACGAAGCCACGACACGGACAGCTGTCCCAACGCAGTGATTGCTGATAGCTCAGGGTACCAGCTCGTTGGTGGCGAGATCGACACCTGCTTCGGATGCGGCGAGACAGGGTGAGTCTTGTCGCCTTCTCCTGTTTTCCCCACGCCACGAAAGAATGAAGAAGTAGTTTTTTCTGCTGACGACACCTCTGTAGACACCGTCGTGCTGACTGCTCTAACGCCGAGCCTATGACTTGTAACTACTGCAAGCAGCCTGGCCACATGATCAAGAACTGCCCAGACAAAGGAGCCCTGGTTTGCGGCAATTGCGGAGAGGAAGGTAAGCAGACACCGCCCGCACTCCTTCGCAGAGGATAGGAACGAGTTAACACGCACTCTAGGCCACATATGGAGGTCCTGCGAGAAGCCACGCAAAATCAACCGCGACCATGTCGCCGACGTCGACCCGGAAGTGGCCTGGGCCAAATTGAAGCAGGCCGCTTCAGAGCGGGACGTCGACGACGCCCGGGAAGCCCTGCAGGAATATGTCAAGGCCCTGGACGGCGCGCCGACCTACAAGGAGATACAGATTGGTCTCATCGGCAACCGAATCAATCTCTGGTTGATTGGCCTCGACAGGCAGCTCGCTGGAGCGTTCACCAACATGGACCTCCAGGGAAACACGGGAAAGAAGTACTCCATCTCCTACAGATTCTCCGAGAAGCCGTGCCGGCCCCGTGAGAGGGAGGGTTGGCCTGAGTCCAGGGAGGACCTGCTCAATCGCCTCAACGACGCCGGAGACACCGTCGACTCTGGCAAGCAGCGCTGCTACAACTGCGGCGAATTCGGCCACGGTTCCAAGTCTTGCACTGAGCCTCCTCGCGAGAGGGATGAAGAACCCAGCCTCTGCCGTAACTGCAACGGCGAGGATCATCGTCTTCGTGACTGTGAATTTTCTCCTTACCTCAAGATAGCTTGCAGTCTTCTAACGAGGTACATCTAGGTCCCCTACCTCGTGTGGACAAGTCTGCTTGCAGGAACTGCGGGTGAGTCCCATTGCTGGAGGCCCCCTCGGGTGACTCGTCGCTAAGGGCTACCAAACAGTCAATCCGGACACAGGGCCACCAGGTGCGGAGAGCCTGTCAACGTCGACAACATCACCTGCCGCAAGTGCGAGAAGAGTGAGCTGTCCATCTTTCGCTCTCGATGGTACGTACTGACTGCATTATAAAAGCCGGGCACTTGTCCAGGGACTGTCTCGAGGAAGGTGGCGGAGGTGGAGGGGGATGTCGCAACTGTGGTCAGGCAGGCCACTTTGCCAAAGAGTGCGGCCAGCCTCGTAGCATGGACCTTGTGACCTGCCGCAACTGCGAGAAGACGGGCCACGTGAGCCGTGACTGCCCCGAGCCCAAAGATTGTAGGTTCTGATGAAGCTCTCGGGTGGGATGTCACCCTCCAGAAAGATAATTAACACTCGCATCCAGGGAGCAAGGTGCAGTGCAAGAACTGCCAAAGATTTGGGCACACGCATGCCAGATGCAAGGGGCCGTCGCAGGATGCGCCCGTAGATGACCAAGGCGGTCTTGACAATGCCGGCTTCTCTGGCGATGCTGGAGGCTTCAACAACGCCGCCAGGTTCCAAAATGCCGCCGACTTTGCCCCGTCCACGGCGTCCACGGGTGGCAATGGTAACGCTGGCGGCTGGTGAGGCATCACATCATTCTAGCTATTGCTGCTGCATCATCAAACAATGTCTGGCCATGCCGAGGATTTGCTGCTGGAGAGAGACAGGGACGGTTGGAGCACACGTGTGTGATGTGTGTGGAATGCGTGGAAATGACTCCGATGAATGAAGGAAAAATGGATGAATGCATCCGAGGCATTGCAAAAAACCAATGGAATAAGATGTCTGATCAGATTCTGTCAAAGGAAGAGAAAAAAAATAGAAGAAAATAAAATATAAAGCAGACATGGGGTGGCACGGCGAAGCAGCATTAGCTAATACCCGTAGCACAGAAAGATTGTTCTCAAATATCTACGTCATCTTGAGGCTAGAGGCGTTTCATCAGTGATCTGAACGGGTCGATGGAATGATTATATTATCTTGGCAGCTGATTACCATGCGAGGGTTGAAGAGAGAGGGAGATAGTATTTATTATCAAATTCATGTAAGGTGGCTGCATGCACTCTAAGCCAAGGCGGTTACACAAAGACACGATTTGTTCATGTTCCTGTCAGACGAATTTGACACCTGCCGAGACTATACGAACTACGGGTTTTGTCGTGACACATAATACAGTAGTAGTACAAGTTGAGTGGTATGTAATCTTGATCACTTCAAGGACACTCTTTGGCTGTCGGTTTATTCTTCTTCTAGATCTTTTAGATCAAAGTATGATTTGAAGGGCGGACGAGGTCTATTCTCAATTGGTGCTAGGCGGCAGCAGCAGTAGTTCTGCTCAGTTTACTTGATGTTATAATCTATCGGTAGTGGCAGTAGGACTCTATTAGGCCACCCCGTGGCGTCCTGGGTGTAGATCACCGTGACTGCATCTGACTCCAGGCTACAGGACGAACGGAAAGAATAAAATCAGTCGGCCACAAGACGCAAACATTGATCGCGACATGAACACGATATGAACGCGTCGCGATCCTCCTCTCTTTCTCATGACCTTTTTTTTCCCTTTCTTCCTCCCCTAGTGTTGGTGGTGGCTTGATTGTTACCCACTCACTACCTGTACAGAGTACACACTGTCGTATACGCGGAAGCGGCATATATGCACACCCCCCGTTTTTAATTTTTAATTTTTAATTTTTAGAAATGAGAAGAGCAGATGCCACGTAATTATTGAAGAGGGCTTTCCTCCCCCCCCCCCCTTTCAGAGAGACTTTCAGAGGAAGAAAAAGTAAAAGGCTTCTCTGTCAGCCAACACGCGCCCACAAGAATCAAGAACAAACCAGACATGCAGTTCTCGTCACCAGTCAAGCCACCCCCTTTCTGTTCCCCTCCCACTTTGCGTGCGGCGAACTGAAGCATCTTCTTTCTCTTCCTGTCCTGTCGAGCCTTATTTTGTTTGACGTCATTCTCTGGTAATGGTCACGAAAAAAGGTTTTCTGCTGTGTAGGACACGGTAGAACACGTCGCGTACATGTATAATAAATAATACGTAGTTCTGTGTACATGTACCCCCCCACCCCCCCCCGGTACCATAACTGGTTCGAGACTACATGTAGTAGTAGTGCCTGTACCTGGTACCTATACAGGTGGCAGGGTTGGTTTTCCGCATCGGCCGACGTGTGCTGTCTGCCTGCTTGCCGACTGGCTTGTACGGATGCTCTCGCACGAGTTAGGACAAGATGGGTTGCTCATACTTATCGAGTGTAATCTGTACGAGCACTATCAGTACAAGTGGAGGGGGAGGGACCGCTTCTTCCTTCTCTCACTCTTTGCTTGTTCCTTTATTTTCACAAACGGCGTAATTTCCCCGGTACAAGAGAGGAAGACGGAGGTGGCCCTCCCCCCGAGAACCAAAAAAAAAAAAAGAAAAGGGTACATACAATCCGTAAACATGTAGTCATGATACCTGTAAGAGTGGATGGTAACTGAGGGTACGGACTATGGGAATGCGCTGGACCCAGTTTTAAAAAATTTGTATCATTTTAACTAGGGGCCTTATTTCCGGGACACACAGTCACATTTGACGGCTTATATAATACAACTTGGAGAGATGTCCCCCCCGAGTTTTCCCCCCCGAGTTTTCCCTTGTATGGAGCATGTCTGTGCGATGTCCTCGTAGGAACCCCACCACACCTGCCCAATTCTTCTCTCTTCGGATGCAACATCTGCAAGTACCAGTACTGGGAAGAAGATAGAATCAAGACAAGAGAGAGAGAGGAGAGAGAGGGGAAGGAGGTAAGATAAAAAGGTGCAATCGCACTGGTCACATTGCATCTAGAGCATTAATATCTACTCTATATTACATGTGAAGTTCAAGCCTCTCACCGACGGACTCTTGGGAAGAACAAGAAAAGACGATTCGAGCCTGACGTTATCGCTTCCATTGTCAACAACCTATGACGATTACGATTTGTGCAGTGGCGGGTGGAAAGGGCAGGGATGGGTACCCCACCAGAGCGACATTTGGTACCACTGAGGACTCGTACTAAAGAGGAGGAAAGTGGGGTATGCATTTAGGTCACACAGTGTCAGAAAATATTCGAGGGTGGGGACCACACACACGCCACCGCACCTCGGGTACGGAGTACGACGGAGTAACATTGTACGTATTTCTACTCGTTCCCTCTCTCCCCCCCCCCCCCCCCCCCCCCCCCCCCCCTCTCCCTCTTTAAATTTCTGGGTAGTCGTACGAGCGGGATTAGTAGGTTCGTATATTTGTGGGGCTTGCACAGTCGACTGGAAAGTAAAGTAGCAGTAGCAAGTAGGCCTGTCCGTTGAGAGCGGTTGAATGTCGGTATTGTTCACGGTGAAAAGGAGTGACGGGAAAAGGGGGGGGGGAGGTTAGCTGTATGGAGGTGAGACGGGAGAGATGATGCCATACTTGATTTTACTGCAAGTACAGAGGTATTCAAGTTACTCCGTATTCCGTACTCATATCTACCGAAGGAGGAAGTGTACTGCGTTATACTCCTTGTAATGACATGACGACACAACGCGACAAAGTCGTCATCGCAATGATGGGGGGCTAACGCTTGTCCTCTCTGATCCGGTGCTGCAGCCTGCTGGTGGGCATTGTGTATGGTGGGTGGCCACTGATGGAGTGCAGGTCGCTGAGGACCAGGCCACTGAGAGCAGAGGGCCTTGGTTGTGTGCAGGCCTTGTGTGGTGGGTGTAGTCGTAGTGACGCCAGCCAGTAAGAAGCCACCGAGGGCCGTGAAGCACCGTCCGACACAGTGCTAGGTCATTTCATGTTTGTCAGCGCACCATCCACACCCCTCACCCCCCCCCCCCCCCCCTACAAGAAAAAAATCCTTACAGAGTGATGAGTGGGCTGGGGGAAAGGAAAAAAAAAAACGGAAGAGAGAGAGAGAGAGGGAGAAGAATAGAGCCCGCCGCCCTTCTTTTCTTTCGGCCGCTTCTTTACAACGTCATCTCTGACGTCTTTTCTCAATCTACCTGCTCATCCTGCGACCCTCTTAGCAACCCACGCGAGCAAAGCATACACGTCCAATATACTACGAGACTGCGTTGACAGGCAGTATCGTTGTTTGCTTGGATTCTCCGAAGCCTGCTTTTTTCTTTTCCTTCTTCGATTCAGGAGGCCAAAGGCCCTGGCTACGCATCCTCTTCTCTTCTCCATCCCTGCTGCGGCCGGTCGCGCAGAATTGTGTAGCGCCTTCCCCCGACTCTCTTCTCCCCCCTCCCCCTTCTCCAACTCCCCTTTCGCCTCACAGACGCACCACACTGCCTTCGCCCGGCAACAAGAAGGGTTTGCTTACAAGTCAAACCGATCATCATCGTACGGGCGATACTATACCCTGCCTTTCCTCGACCCGGCCACACGAGAACCGGCAAACAGGGGGGAAACGTACGAGACAGAGGAAAGTGAGGACGAACACTTTGGGGTTTCCATTGTCGAGAAAGAAGAACATCGACTTTCCCACCCATCCGACCCACCCACTTCTCCTACAAGGACAACGACCAGGAAACATTGGTTCCCCTTCGAGCATTCCCAACCCGGAAAAGTATTATATCATTAGTTTTCCTCCCTCTACTCCTTGCCCCCCTCCATACCGAGGGCCACTACTTTGGGTGCTTGCCCATCTCGGCCTCTGACCTCATTAGTCTCTGGCCCTCCCCAACTCTACCACCCTCTCCCACCCCCCCCCCCCCCCCCCCCCCCCCCACNCCCCCCCCTCTCCCCCCTCCCCCCCCCCCCCCCCCCCCCCCGTCCCAAACCTTCTCCATTATAATAAATAATATACCACTACATCATCTTCAATCATGGGAGCAGCCACTGTTGCCGGCACAAGCAATCGTCCATCCAAGACGCCCCCAAAGACGGACAAGTCTCCTCTACGACCAGGTAAGCAAGCCTCCTACCCCATCTTGAACACGCCATGATGCAACCTTGTTCGTGTATCGGCGCTTGATTCTCCTGCCCCCTCCCCTCTTCTCTCCCCTCCCCAAGATGAGGCGCATTCCGTCTCGGACCTGTGCCTTGGTCCTGCTTTCTTTTAATTCTTCCATTGTCGTCATCACTCTTCTGGCCTTCTTCCTCTTACTGACATTGTCCTGCCCCGGCCAGACGTCACCTCAGACGCAAAGACATCCAATCCCAACAAGAGCGACGGCCCGTCCAATGCCGAAGCGGCCAAGCCCTTGGCACCACCTCCCCGACCCGGTCAGCAGCAGCAACAACAAAACGGATCCAACAGCCCCGACTACTTCTCCCAGGCAGGGGGATCACTCAGCCTGGAGCCCAATCCCTTCGAGCAGTCCTTCGGGGGAGAAGGTCAACCCGAGACCCCGGGAGGCACCAAGCTTCCTTCTGTCCATACCTTGACCTCGCCCTCGTCGCTCCTCCCGGGAAGCAACGCGACACCTTTCAACTGGGGAGGAGGTTCCCTACGTACCGGGCCCCTGAGTCCTGCCATGCTCTCCGGCCCTGCCAACGACTACTTTGGCGATACACAGCATCTCCGTGGCGGCTTCCCCACGCCCAACGAGTCTTCGTTGCGCTCCGGCCTCACTCCCGGCGGCAGTGGTTCCATGTTTCCCGCCCCCAGCCCCAACGCTCAGGCTTTCATCTCCCAGCTCGCCAGCGGAGGCGCGACTCCCAGCACCATCGACTTCCACCGTACGGCCATGAGCGCGGCTGCCAAGAGGGAACTCACCAACGGCGCTTCAGATAGCCAGCAACAGCAACAGCAACCTCAACCACCCCAGCAGGCACAGCAGGCACCGCCGCCCCAACAGAGCGTGACTTCCCAGCCTCAGGATATGCCCAACGGCACCGCTCAAGTCAAGTCGGAGCCCAAGACGTTTGACCCCCACGACAACGACGCCGCCAACGGCCTGTTCATGCTCGCACAGGGTGCACAGAGCCGCAACGGTACTCAACCCACCAACCAGTTCACCGCCGTAGCAGCCTCGGCACCGACTGCCCAGGCCTCGACCCAGCAGCAGCAGCAGCAGCAGCAGCAGCAGCAGCAGCAGCAGCAACCTGTAGGTGTTATCCAGGCCGACGCAAACGCCTCAGGAAACGGCACCGGTGTTGCTCGTGGTGTAAGCGAGAATAGCATAGGTTCGGACGCGAGCGACCAGCTCAAGCAGACAGCTCGTGGCAAAGCCGGCAAGAAGACCGCCGCCGCCGCCGCCAACAACAATAACAGTAACAACAACAACAACAACAACAACAACAACAATAACAATAACAGCATCTCCAACGCAGTCGCCAACGGTCGCAGGAAAGCAGAGGAACCTGCCCCTTCCAAGGTCCCGCCCAGCAAGAAGTCCAAGGGCAACAACAATAGCGTGAGCAACATCTCCTTCAACGGTAGTATGAGTGCCGAACCGTCAGACGACGAGGACATGAAGGTGGACGAGAGCGGCAACAAGTCAAAGATGACCGACGAAGAGAAGCGCAAGAACTTTCTGGAGCGCAACCGGTACGTGTACCCGAGGGAGGCCTTCGACCCTCGTTTCCCTGTGATTTTTTATCATAAAAAAATTCAGCATCATATGACGAACATCGAATACTGACCCTGTGTTCTGCAGTGTTGCGGCTCTCAAATGTCGTCAGCGGAAGAAGCAGTGGCTGGCCAACCTCCAGAGCAAGGTCGAGATGTTTTCTAATGAGAACGAGGCCTTGTCGACACAAATCTCGCAGCTGAGAGAGGAAGTTGTCAACCTCAAGACGCTTCTCCTGGCCCACAAGGACTGTCCTGTAACGCAGCAGCAAGGCATTCACAGCGCCTATTTGGGCCAGGTGGCGCAGCCGCCTGACCCGTTCAACGCTCAGATGAACCCTTACCAGATGCCTGGCCCCATGGCCAACCAGCCCGTCATGGCTGGACAGGGGGTACAGCGACGTTTCTCCTAGCCGGAAAACTCGGAAGAACAAACGTCCCAGCCAACCCGAGAGGCACGACTTGTACCAGCACCACAGGGACGGAGAGGATTACCACCTCCAGAGCCGAGACATGTACCATTTCCACGAGGAATGCAAGGACAGCTCCCACTACCATCAATCCTGCGCAGTGCTGATCCGCTAGCGTCGGGGGCTTCGCTTTCGTTTCCGATGCACCCTGACCTGCAATCCGTAGCGGGGGAACTCGCATCAAATGCAAACTCGACGTCGCCTACCAGCCTACCAGGAGGCCCGGACTCGAACTCTCAACATGGCGCTCGCACTCATAGAAGCACCGCTCAAAACACCACGGGAAGTGGCCTTGACTCCAAGAGGACGCACCCGATGTGCCCATACTTCAATTCATAGAGGGCTTCCCCCCAGGAGAGCTCACATCAGGAGGGATCGTCAGAAAACCCCTCCACCAGGCATGGACGGATCCCAATAGCCCTCTCAAAGCATAACGCACAGCCACCTGAGTGCGCGGGGCTGAAGAGATCAGCACGACGACGCGGTGCAAGCACTTGCCACGTTGCCTGGGCTGTCTCGTGCATCACGTGTGACCAGAGTTCCGTTTCCCGGAGCTGCGGACGAGGTGTTGATGGGACGCTTCATCATGCGGGAACCACCCGCGCTTGACCTATGTTTAATGTTTTTGTTTTCTCACAAGGCGTTTCAAGGATCGGAAGGAGACGGTTTGTGTTTGATGTGTTATCCGGTTTCTTTATTTTTTAACTCTCTTTTTCTTTCAAGGATATGTACACTCGGCACACAAACACGGACGGTGTTGATGACTGGATGCATAGCATAACGCTTCTCTTTTCCTTTCTCTCTTTTCTATTGTTAGGAGATGAGAAATGTCCGACTTTTTATTACCGAGGGGACGGGGAGAAAAAAATTATATCCGGCAGGAGTGGCAGAATTCGGCGGCAAAAAGTATTAGCGGAGGCGACATGGAATGATGGATGGATTGGAAAAAGGGGAGGCTGACAAGATGATCAAGAGAACAGGAAAGCTTGAGAGGAAACACTGCTGGCAAGATGTTACTTTGGAAGGGGGGGGGGAACTTTTTTTTCTTCACTTTCTTTCTCATCCCCCTCCCAGAACCGCCGGGTTTGGTCTCGAGTCTCCTTGAGCTAGTAGTACCTGGTGGGATACGTTATTTTTCTTTTTCATCTTGGTCTTGGTAAAACTAGATTATTTAAAGCAGTGATGCTTGCTTTTTCTGTGTAAGAATTGACGACTTTATTTTTGGCACACTTGTCTGGTTGCTCAACTGGTCTTGTCTGTTTGTGCAGAGATAGCTGTACAGATTATACGCTCGTTCAATGCCTACGTAACAAGGTACTCTGGGGATCATGGTCACGTGACGCAGCAGAAGTACCGGTGCAGATTGTACTTTACCATAAAAGGACTAGCGTATCCATGCGAGTTAGTGTGGTCCGTCTATGAATCCCTCAGCGACGACCAAGGTAAACAAGAGAAGAGTAGAGAAGAGGAGATCAAACCACCGACGCGATACCCGCTCTCCCCCCCAGCAGCACCGTCACCAATCTCTTCTTTCCTTTCCGTTTCTGCGCGCACCAAAACAAAATAAAGATACGACGACACCGAAGTCCGACTCCCACATACCGACGAGCTAATCCGCTTCTCTCATTTCCATCCACGTCCCTTTCTCGTCCAGCGCGTGACAACGCGCACCTCGTCGCAATTCGAACCCAGACGCATCTGTGACGCGACCTGTGTACGCATTCCGCCCCTCCACGCGACGACCTCGATTCGAAACCCAATCCTTCATCACAACCAGATAGCCTCCAAGAAAGCAAAAAAGCAGTCTTCAGGGAAGAAGGGTTTTCCGGCTTGGAAGGAGGGAAGAAATTCAAAATAAAATAAAAATAGAAGAAAAAAAAGCGCACGGGATATCTGCGGATTTCCTTTCTACAAGGAACGAGAGGACAGACCTCCTGTCGAAGACGAAACAGAGAAGAAGACACCCATGAATCTCTCCAGCCATCCATGACGACCCTCGTGCAAACTCGGGCCCTCCAACTCGTTAGCATGGGGACAAACAATCAAGATGCAGGAGGAAGACATAAACGGGGAAAAGGTGCGGTGGCGGACCTGGAGAACGACGACGACTTCCAGTTTGTGAGGAAGTCGAAGAGGGCCAAGACGGAAGCGGCGCCGCCTCAGCCGCAGCCGCAGCAGTCGAGGACGACGGCGCGCGATGCCTCGGTAGAAGCTCCGCCCACAGCCGCAATCAGACGAACGGCTGCTTCCGCCGCGACGAGGAGGAGTCCGAGAATAAACACGCCCGAACGACGACAACAACAGCAGCAACATGCCGAGAGACCGAAGTCGACAGCACAGCAGAGGAATGGTGCGACGGGAAGGACAGTCAGGGCGGATGCTACGCTGTTTGACTCACCGCCGCGACAACCAAGATCGCAGAGAGCGTCGTCGAGAGGTGCAGGTGCAGATGCGGCGGAAGATGAGGAGAGCCGACGGCGGGGAGGGTCGAGACGGGCGGGAACGGTAGAGCGTGAGGATGGAGGATCGGGGGGGGGTCCAAGGAGAGTGAGAACAGAAGAGCGGCCGGAGGGAGGATCCAGAGGAGGGTCAAGGAGATTGGCAACAGAGGAGGCAGAAGAGGACGCGCGACCGGAGGGAGGACAAAGAGGAGGACCGAAAGACAGAACGAAGATGATCACCCTGCCGATGAGCGACACGCCAATCATCAACCGAAACAAGGAGATGCGCAAACAGGGCGGCAACGACGGCAGCGGCAACCGCCGGAGCAGTCTGGGCTCCCGCGGCCGAAGGGCGAGTTCGCTCATCGACAACGGGCAGACGGCCATCCCGCATCGCGAGGTCAGGACGACAGAGTTCTACAAGCACATCGAAGCCGAGGGCCTGCCCGAACCGAGACGCATGAAGCAGCTGCTCACCTGGTGTGGAGAGCGGGCGCTGTCGGATAAGCCCAAGCATGGGAGTAAGGATGCGGGCGTCATCCATGGCGGTATGTTCTCTCTCTCCGTCTTCTCCGCCCTCTCTCTTTTTCTTCTCGTCTCTCTCATGACATCACCTGCGTGCGCGAATGTATAGTTTTTTTTGTTTTTTGTTTTTTTTGTTTTGTTTTTTGCTAACTGAGGAGACAGCCCGCGCTATTCAAGATCAATTGCTCAAGGACTTCGCCGCGCGGTCCGAATTCTCCGACTGGTTCAGCAGAGATGACGAGGCGATTCCAGGCGCACCACCTGCCGTTCTTCAGCCGAACCCGAGAAATAAAGAGTTGGACGAGAAGATTGTACAGTTGGAGGAGAATATCAAGAGGTATGTTCTTATATATACACACCCCTCTTTTCCCCACAAAAAGACGCAAACCCTTCTAACGGAAACAGGTTACAAGAGGAAAAGCAAGCGTGGCTAGCCATGCAAAGACCACCGCCAGACCAACCGCCTATCCTATCAGAATCCGAGGTCGAGCACCCGGAAACCATCGAGCTCCCCGACTTCGACCTGCTAGACGACCAGGACGGCCGGATACACCGGTACCTGTCGTCGGAAGCGGAGCCCTTCGAGTCTGTGCGGGCGACTACGCAGAAGCGCCTGCGCGACGTCCGCGCGACGCTGGAGCTGCAGGTCGACCTGCTGGCGGACAACGTGCACAGGTTGGAGCAGAGGGTGCGCGTGGCGGGCCAGGAGGCGGACCAGGTGCTCGGCCTGAGCGCGCGGAGGCTGCGGGACAGGGACGACGAGGAGAAGAGGAGGGCAGGGACCAGGCATATGCCCATCATGGAGGTGCTCCGTAGTCTCGGGGCCATGCTGCCGGATGGCGGGGAGGGTTAGGACACGGGGAAGAGAGATGAGATGAAAATAAAAAAGGGGACAAAAACCGGAGCTTCTTGAATGTTCTGGGATCATGACGATTACGAAGGCGTCTGCTTTTTTTCTTTTCTTGTTTACATACATACGTACATACATACGTATATATATATATATATATACATGCTCGGTTTCCCCACCCTTTGCCCCCCTTCTTCCTCAAGTAATGATACAATAACCTATCGAGTGGTATTAGAGGTCTTGTAGCTTTTGTGTATATATATATATATATATATACTTTATCCAATCTCGCACCACCTCCATCAGTTTCCCGTGCCCTCCTGCTCCTCGAGCCTAGGCATGAAAGCCATACCGGTACCCTGCTCGCCATCTACGCTCCTGGTGCGCACGTGAGCCCGGATCATCTCGAGGATCTCGCTGTCCCTCCACCTGAGCGGTACGGGCCTGTACGCGGGGCGGAAGGCGCCCACGGTCTGCGCCCACTCGCCCACGGGCCGGTCGCGCGGGACCTCTGCGCCGTCGGCGTCGGAGGGGTCCGTGGCGCTGGCGTCGCTCTCGGCCACGGCGGCGTTGGTCGTCGATGGGTTCGTCGAGAAGTCGCTCTCCCGCTGCGTGGCCCAGTAGTATATGTCCCAGTCGTTCTCGTCGAGGAACCGGTCGTACTGATCCAGCTGGGCGGGCGTCATGGTGGCCAGGTTCGTCGACGCGAATGTCGACAGTAGGAGGTCAGACTCTAGGGTTCCGCGCTTCCTCGACTGGTCTACCGATCCCAACACCCGGTTGTCAGCTTGGGTCATGGTGAAGGAGTGGAGAAGGAGAGGAAGGAGGAGAAGGAGAAGAATACATACACAAGAGACGTGCACGCTTGGTCTTGTCATCCTCGCCGACACGACGGAGAGGTTCAATCTTGAACTTGGCACCTTCCAGCTCGCCCACGCCGATCTCGCCGGGCGTCTTCTCGCCGCCGCCGCTGCTGCTGAGACGGGGCGTCGTCGTCGTCGACAGGGCGCGCCACGGTTGCCTCATCGCCGGGACGGCAAGGCGGTTGGCGCGCAGGGCGCGACACAGAATGGATGGGGTAGCCATTGCTACTGTGACGGTTCGATGCGAGGAGAGGAAAACGTCTGTCCTGTTTTCTTTCCTCTCTCTCTTCCTTCTTCGTCTTCTTCGCTTTTTTTTAAAAAAAATGAAAATGAAAAAAATTAATTCGCCGCTGCTGTTGCTGATGATTGATGATGCGAGGTGGTGGTGGGAGATTGGGAGTTTGTATGTTGGCTGTCTTGTGCGTATGGCGTAACAGGTAACGGCGTACGAGCAGACGATGTACGAAGAAGAAATTATGGGGCTTTGTGGACGAGGCCGAGGCCGAGTCATTCATTCCCGCAAGTCCCGCGGGCTATGAAGTAATTCATATATGACTGAGAGCATCAAAATCATTCTATCCAACAGCATACGATATTGGTCACTCTCATAAGCCTACGGAGCAGAACCATGCTTGTTTGCTTTTTTCCCCCCCTTCCTTTCTTTCCACCTTTCATTCCCATCTACCTGTCACCATGAAGAACCAACGCCGCAGCAACAATGGGGTTCGGAGAGAGCCCGCATATGCACCAATTCACAGACCAAAAGAAACTATGACATACCAGTCCAAAACAAAGTTCTTGCCCCTTGACCGCACCTCACTTTCATCATACCCCGTTAGCGTTTTCTTCGTCTTTCACTTTTCCTCCTTTGAAGAAAAGACATGAGTAGCTTCACCCATTGTATCGCATGTTCCGGGGGGAGGGGGGATAGAGCGGATTGCGCATGTGCCGATAATAACAAGAGCAAAGAAGAAGAGTGAAGAGAGAAAAAATATCGATGACAGGAAATAAAGAATCGCTTAGATCAGATGCTTGGAGCGGAAGTAGGCGCGCAGGTACATGATCTGCCAGGCCCAGAGACCGACGAGGAGCCAGGTGGTGCCGATGCCGAACCACTTGACGCGCGTGTTGGTGCTCTCGTTCGTGTCGCGGAGCTTCTGCTCTCGGCTGCGGAGGTACTCCATCTCGCGGACGACCTCGCCCGTGAGCTCCTCGATGCGGCGGAGGTCGGCCTCGACGGGCTTGAGCTTCTCGGTGGCCTGGATGGCGGCCCAGTCCTTGGCGTCTGCGCCAATGTCGACGTCGAGTTCGATGGAGCGGGTGGAGGGGTTGGGACGCTTGGCTATTTGGGTTTCCCTACAAGTCAGCACCATGGTCTTTCTTCTTCTCTGTCTTTGCATTTCGTTGCTGCTGCTGTAACAAGGAGGAAGGGATGGGAGGTCAAAACTGAGAAGGAAAACAGAAAAAAAAGAAGAAAGACATACGTCCAGTAGAGACGTTCTCGAAGCAGACATCAAAGGCAGCATCAGAGTGCGAGGTGAAGACGGTCCTCGACTCGCCAATAACGTCCCTCGGACGACCGTACTCGTTGCCCTCGGCATCGCGAATCTGATGGAAAAAAACAATCGACGTCAGCCCCGGGAATGATGGTCGCTGGAAAAGCTCCAGGGATTCGAGAAAGAAATCATACGTGAATGTTGACCATCATGCCGTCACCCTTGGTACCGCTAACAATGGCTGTGACGACGACGAGAGTATCCTTGGCGACAAAGTTTCGCACGCAGCGCTCCTTCTTCTGCGTCTCGCGACCTGTGTGAGCCGTCACGTCGAGCTTGAGGGCGTCAACGGCACCGATGAGCACCAGGAGGCTGCACAGGACGTTCAGAATCGATCGGGGGAAAGCCATGATCGCCAGAATCAAACGAGGAGCTGCTAGAAAGACACAGAGTGAAAAAGGAAGATGAAAGGAAGAGGGCGTCAACCGTGACGAGGAGGGGACCGGCGTTGACGGCGTTGACAGTTGCTTGTCCTGCTGGCACCTTGATTTGGGGGGGGGGGGGGGGGGGGGGGGAGGCTTGAGACACTGAGTTGCAAGGTGTCCAACCGTGACGGGGCGGTCACGTGTTAATGCTGCTGGTAAAAGGAGGCGCGCCAACGATATACGATATACATCTACACATGCCTACTATCAATATATTATAACGGACAGCTCCGTCTCCTACTACTGCTATCATTTTTTCTTTTTATTTCTTCTTTCTTCCCCCTCCTTTTTAAAAAAAGGAACTTTTTGCTATTCTTAAGACGGACTCTGCTCAATGATGGGCTGATAACCAAGGCGTATTCGTTCATTCACTGCATGTGATGCTGGCTTCGCCAACACCATTCAAACCAAAGACGGGTCACCGCAGCCTTCCGTTGGCCTCTGTCCAAAGCCTGCATGTCGTCATCTCTCTTAGAAATGTGAGGGTCTCCGCTGCAGATTCCTTCAGCTGCTCGGACGATCCGGAGTTGCTCGGGCATGTGGCGGCCGCCAATGTTGCGAACGGGGATCTACACGTGGAGGCTAGGTCAGCATCTTCCATGATATCAAGGTGGGTAGGATAACGCAGCGTCATAGGGACGCTGGTCTGCCTAATCCCGAAGCCCTCCTTTCCTAGGATGTACTCCTTGACGGATGGATGGGCTATATGTAGTTCATACGCCACCAGCGTGTCGGAGGAATCCTGGAGCTGACCGTCTGTAGAGTCGACGATCGAGACTAGGCTTGGGCAGAGTCGTGTTATCTAATGCGGATCGGGCATTCTGTTACTGCTGTCAAAATGTCGACCGTCTCCGTAGATGCGGACAGCTATCAGGCCCACGGCTTCCTCTAGAATCAGAGGTCATCGAGATGGATGAGGAACTGCAGCAGGCGGCGTGACTTCTCCTAGTTGCCCTCCAGGACGAGGTCGAGAACGCGATCGTACATGTCGGACAGAGTGCGCGCCCAGGGTTTTCACGAGATGATCTTCTCGGTCGAGGCATTCCGCCAACTTGTCCAGTTGGCATGCTGCTAGCCTGAACCTGTACGGGTAGAGGTAAGTCGTCAGCACGCTGCACGGCTTTTGTCCGTCGCAGCCTCGATCAGCAGTCAGTGCGTCTGGTCACTTACATTCCACTTGCTTTGCTCAACGCCATGGCAGGTCTTCTTCCTCGCATCCTCTTGCTCGCTCCCTCTCTCGAAATCTGCGCTCTCGACTATTTCTGTCCCATACGATCGTATGTCGGAGCTTATGGACGCTATGCCGAGGGCTATGCAGCTCCCTTCGGCGACTATGCGTGGGAATTTACCTAGGAAATCTTGCTCTGGTCGACCGGTAGCGACTAGCTGGATGGTGTTGAGCTTATCGTCCGTGACCACGTCCTTGACAAAACGAATCAAGTCGCGCCTTTCGCTGCATTCGTCCATGGCGTCGAGTACTATATGTACTTTCCCCTCTCCCAAGTTAAGCATCACAAGTAGGGTTCTCTGCAGGGTGTCGGTTGCCGGCTGCACGTTACCCTGAGAGTGGGACATGAAGAGACGACATGTCGAGTCTCTCGGTCTTGTCGAGGCCGACTTTGTACATCTAGAGACAGATAGAGCGGAGCATCCCGGCTGCGGCCTACTTCCTGCTACCGCCGCTGTCGAAGCAATACATCGAGACACCGTGACCGCCACTCTCCTTGAGATGACTCAAGATCGTAGAGCTCGGCATTGCCTTCTCGAAGCCAGGCAGTGCGTGGAGCCACAGGTACCGGCGCGATCCAAGTTTCTATTCGACAGAGGGGTCGCTATTGATGAACCGATCCCCGGTATTACCATGCTGCAAGCCCCTTGCATTGTTGACATTGGTCGACGGGTCCGGCGGAGGGAGCCAGAGTTGGAGAGCAGCCACCTCCTTCCTGGCTGAAAATTTATCTCTTCAACCGTGGTCTTGATGTGGCTCGTTGCCATGTCGAATTGTTCCAGGCCTTTCTCCCCCCTCACTTTGGGTTTAATAGAAGAACACGCGACGAGATACACGTTACTACGTTGCCGACCTCCCGTAAACCCATACCATCTGGTACCTAGAGGTCGTTCGACACTCGTAGATCTGATACCTGGAAATTGTGACCTGGGGGGGTCGCTTCACCACAATCCAAGGGGAGACAATGTTTTCTGACTAAGCCATCACCATGACTAATCACAGCTACGCTCGCTACGAAGTGGGTACCTCACATTGATCGCGAATCTCCAAATCATTCAACGCCTATTCCCAGATGCAACTTTCTGCCCATCATCAACATCTCAATCACATCAGTCGCCCAGCATGCCCAAGTGTAAGCCTTCCTCTTCGCCCACCCAAAAGTTCTTCTCTGCTAACATATTACCAAACAGTCTTCTGTAAGTTGCCGACTACCCAGCTAGCAAAATCTCGAGCGCCGCGCGCGTCGCAAACTCTCATCTGGACCACACACTCGAACGACGACAGAAACTAACTGACTGGGGAATTTCTTTTTTTTCCCCAAAAAAAATAGGCGACTACTGCGATGTCTACCTGACGCACGACTCCATGAGCGTGCGCAGGGCCCACAACAGCGGAAAGAATCATCTGCGCAATGTGGTCGACTACTACCAACGTACGCCTTTATATCCCCCTCTCCCCCCCCCCAATCGTTGTGTTATCTGTCTGACAGGGCCATGTGAGAAATGTAGAAATCGGTCACGAAAAGGCTCAGTCTGTCATCGACTCCATCACGTCCTCCTATGCAGCAGAGGGTCAGGCCCACGCCAACCCAATGCTTCCCCAGAACCAGCCCGGTCACAGGTTCCCTCCTCCATTCCCTTTCCCGGGTGGTGAGTCTCGACTATTCTTTCCTTTCTCTTTCTTCTTCTTCCCTCTATTTTCTCCCCTCCCGTCTGTCATCGACAACCTGACTAACATCTCTAGGCGCACCGCCTCCCTTCCCGAACATGCCTGGCGCACCTATGCCTCACGGTCTACCTCGTACGTCACGTCCCTCCCCGATGCAAAGAACAGAGAACAAAGGAAGGAGAAGAAGAAGAAGAAGAAGAAGAAGAAGAAGAAGAAGAAGAAGAAGCTGACAGTGAAATTAAAATAAAAGCCCCACCAGGTGCTCCCCGCGGTATGCCCGTACCCTTCCCCGGTCCAAATGGCATGCCTCCCATTCCTCCCCCCGGCGCCGGCGCCGCTGGTCTACCGTTTCCCCCTCCCCCCGGCGGGCTCCCCTTCCCCCCTCCCCCGGGAGCCGCCGGCCTGCCACCTCCTGGCTTTCCGGGGATGCCTCCCCCTCCTGGCCCCCAGGGATTCCCCGGTGGTCCCCCCCCGCCTGGATTCCCTCCCGGTATGCCTGGTGCCCCTGGTGCCCCTGGTCTCGACAGACGATAGAATACTGAGGACGTCTGGGGCATGATTCGGAAGGAGTTGAGGGAGGGGCTGGTGAGAGAGGGAGAGGAGAGAGAGAGGAGAGAGAGGAAAAGACGATAGTGATTGGTTTTTTTTTCTATTTTTCTTTTGGTCCTGTTTTTTTATATTTCTTACTTCTTGCCGCTACAACTGCAACTGCTATTGCTACTCTTGGGAATCGTTCAGGCGTAAAGGCGAATGGGGATCAGGACGTGTGTCGATATCAATACAAAAATAGCCTCTATATACTGTTGGTCTGTCGCGATGTAACATGTCGGACTTCCCATGGGCCTACGTCTTGTAACGGTATGTTGAAAACGCCCGTCTTTTCTTATTTCTTTCATTCTCTCATTCTTTTTAAAAAAAGAAAGAGCACGGAAATACCAGCAAATGGAAAAAAAAAATATGCGTCTGATCTCCGACTACCATCTATGCAAATACACGAACCAAGGACTGAAGTCGGTACCATTCGACGCCAGCGTCATGGTGGTTTTGCTGCCAACTGAAATCCCCCTCCCCCAAAAAAAAAATTCCAATCAAGACCAGTAACGAGTCAAGGGATGACGAGAACGCCAATGTGAAAAAAAAAGACATCTCTCCAAAGGAAGGTCCAACTGAAAGAAGTGAAGACGAAAGGGGGAGAAGAAGAGAAGAAAGAAGAAAACAATCCTCCATAAATCATATCAAAATCATTTGCGTCATCTCTGTCGTAAGCCTGTCCTTCTTGGCCCGTTCCATCTCTCATTTTCATACATCATTCCTCCTCTTTATACCCTTGTGCCTTGGGCATGCCTCATCATTCCTCCTCTTTTATATATCATCTTGATTCATGCTTCATCCCACCTCGCATCACGTCCCCCACTGAGATACACTACTCCTCCTCAACAACTCATCCACCCCGTCATGAACCTCCTTGGGGCCGGATATCTTCTTCCTCAGCTCCTCAGTTCGCTTCTCTCGTCTCCTATCGCTGAGCCGCCTGGGTATGTCCTGTATATCTCCGACTTTATCGCTGAGCGAGAATCGACGACGATGGCTGCTACTCCTAGTCTGTGCTGCTGCTGCTGCTGCTGCGGCAGATGACGACGATAGTGGTGGTCTGGAGACGCCATCGGGGCCTACGGAGCTGATGCCACGCCATATACTGTTCCTGTTAGAGCTGTCGCCGCCGTCCGGGGCGGTAGAGGGTCTAACGTTGCCACAGACGCCGCTGCTTCGTCGCCTCATGACGCGTAGGTTGCCGCTCGGGGTGCGCTGAATGGTACGCTTCTCCGTGCCATAGGCGTCGTCATCGTGGAACATCGTGACGGTGTCGACTTCCCGGCTGGGGAGTACGGAGAAGGTGCGCTTCATCTTGTCGCTGAAGCGCCTCTTGGGCACCGCCCGAGCCGTGGGACGGTTGTCGATGGGAGGGTAGCGGAGGTGCTGCTCGCTTTCTTCAACCTCTTCATCATCGTCGTCGTCGTCAAAGATCCGCTCGTACTCAATGTCATCGTCGTCATCGTCGTCGTCATCGTCGTCAGGGTCCCATTGAGGACGCCAGAAAGGGTGTAGCCTGTTCTCCTCGGGCGGCACGTCGTCTTCACGGGGATATCCGCTGGCGCTCCAGCTCCTGCCGCGCCTGCGACGGGAACGGCTGCGGCTGCGGCTGCGGCTGCGGCTGCGACTGTGGCTGCGGTTGCGGCTGGGCAGGGAAAAAGCGCGTGAGAGGAAGCTGCCGCCTGGTCGAGATGCGTTGGGCGGGTACGACAACGAGTTGCGGTGGCGGCGACCAAATGCCCTGGCTACCAGCGAGGGCTTGCGATTTGGATCCTCGGCCATTGTCTCCAAGAGGTTGCCCCGCTGGATCTCCTTGTCAAGGGCCGGCGTCGTCCCGGAGGGGGTTGCAGAGGTGAATGTTAGGACGGGGGGCCCCGTCGGAGCGACCTGGGTTGGCGGTTCGGGCGGGGCGCGGGGGTTGCGCAGGGGTGACTCGATGTCGTCGAGGGAGAACTGCGCCTTCATGGGTGTCGAGGGAGGACCGGAGTTGTCGTTTGGCGCCGCTGCCGCCCCGGTAGTAGCCGGCATCGCAGCTTCAGCGGGGCGCTGGCTGTCGGATACATCGGACAGCCGTGCCGAGTGGTCGACCATCAGCACAGACGAGTTCTGATGGTGGTACATGTGAACGGCCTGAGCCTCGGACACCTCGGGCGCCGTGCCGTTGGTCTCCATCGAAGCGACGGAGAAGGGCGTGTTGCGCGAGGGTATCTTGCTGGGGGAGCTGAGGCCGTCGTTGTAGTCGCCGCCGCCGTCGACTCTGTGGTGCAGGTCGGAAACCAACCGGATAGGATCCAGGAGCAGCGGCGAGGCAAGCTTCCGTGATGTCTGCTGCTGGTGCAGCGGCGGTGGCGGCGACAGTGGCGGTGATAGCGATGGCAGAACAAGCGGCCACTCTTCCGACTGTGGCGCTTTGTTTGCTGACAGCTGTGACTGAGGAGGATCGCTGCGAGGTGAGTCCCTAGAGGCGGTCTCGCGCGGTGGTGAACGCGTAGCCAGTGGCCGGGTGGCGTTGTCGCGGTGTCGTAGGCTCTCCGTCGTCATAGATCCGGCTCTCGAGACGTTGCGGCTAGTCGGTGCCGAGAGAGACGAGGACCTGCGAGGTATAGCGGGCGGGAAGTCCATGGTCATAACGTCGCTGCTGCTGCTCGAGAGGGAATATGAGCGGGAGTGGGAGCGGGAGAGGCGTCCTCGATGCTCAAGCGCGGGATCGGCAGCATGTCGTCTCTCAGCGACGGGTGGTACATCCTTATGGGGGTTGTTGGAGCCGAGGCTTTGGGTCCTCCTGGAGTGTCTGCTGGATGTGGACCTGAGCGATGGCTCCCGCGACTTGGAGCGCGAGGACAGTCGGTCAGGCACGACAATGACGGGGATAGCACCGCTCTTCCACACCTCGCGTCTTGCCCTGGCGCTAGACACGGAGCTGACGGAGGCGTGGCTGCCATTTCTCCCCGGTTCGGTAGGTCGCTGGTTCGTTATCGGCGGCCGAGATGGTTTCCTTCCTCGCTCGACAACCGGAGCGGTGACGGCGGCAGGGGATGACTGCTTTGCGCTACGAGCAGAAGACATCGATAGGTTCATAGGCTCCCGCAGCGAGCCCTGCTTCCGTACGTGCCTCAGAGTCCTCTGCTTCTGTGGTTCCCTGTATGGAGCATCGACCAAGGCCGACACCTTCGAGCTGAAGGACATTGAGGACAGTCCTGACGACCTCTGCTGGCTGGTGGCGACGGAGCTATCGGAGTATGTAGGACCGGATGAAGAGCGGGTGGCGCGATCTGTACCACTCCTCGAGGACGACTTCGGCGAAGCCTTTCCGGTCAGAGATGCGTTACGAACGGTCCGGACGGCGCTGGATGCGGCTACGGGATTGGCAGGCTCCTGAAGAGGAGCGTCTCCGCTCATTTTCCTCTGGTGGCGGTAGTATTGATGTTGATGATCTGGTGCAAGCTGCTGCTGCCTTGTCTTGGCAACGGTGACTTGGGCGCGGTCAGACGGGCGTTCCGTCCCGCTGACAGAACCCCAGTCCCCATCGAACTGAAGCGGCTCATGGCGTTTTCTTGGCATGTGGGCATCGTCATGCTCGTCGACCGGTCCGGCAAGGCGCGAGAGGGCCATGCCCAGTGCGAGAGGGTTGGGGACGCGGTCCCCGTGGCCGTTTGGCGGTGGCACCTTGGGAACGGCTGAACGGGAAGTTCGACCAGAGGCCGCGGCGGGCTGGGGCTTGAGCTGGGACTGGACGGTCAACGGCGTGACATTCTCCTCGGGCGAGGAAGGAGGATCCTCCCTGGCGGTGCGGAATGACTCCGTGCGAGACTCTATGGTGAGGTAGGTGGCATCGGTGGTATCGGTGGCACTACGGCGCGCCGGCGCCACGGGCACACCGCGGTCGGTGGCGGCGACGCCAGCGGTGGCGAGCGGGCGCAGGGCCATTGGGCGCGTCACGGGCTGAGGAGGGGTGACATCGGGGGTCGGGGGGCTGCGCTGGTCCGGAGGCGTGGTGGGAGCCTGGGCGGACTGCTTCGGGGTACGGAGGAGTCGAGAGTCTGTCGTAGTAGGGAAGGAGGGCAGGGTGGAGTGGCTGCTGGACGAGGTACGCGGATGTGCTGGGGGCGTAGGGGGTAATTCAGGCCCGCCGCCGCGACCGCCGATCAAGTTCCCAGAGGCATGTCTCAGAGTCGGCGGACTGGAAGGCTGGGAGGCGGTCGGCGTCGACGTCTGGGTGGTGTCGATGGTGAGATCGGGCAGCAGCCCCTGAGACGGCAGATGGACGGGATATATGCTGTCGGTACGATCATGGCGGGGTTTGGGCAGGACCTTGTGCTTCTTGAACTGGCGCTGGCCGGCAACGCCGTTGCAGTACGAGTATGCGGCGATCTGGTGCGGGCCGCCGGCGGCCATGGTGGTGACAGCGTCGCCGGATGTGAGCAACATTCCCAAGGGCCGGAGCCAGAGGGGGAAAGGTCGACTATGGATGCGTTTTTGGCTAGGAGCGATTGCCGTGTGCGCGGCCAAGAGAGTGTCGCATGCTGAGCTGGAGGGCGTAGCGGGAAGGAAACGGCCGCAATGTCTCAGGGAAGTGTAGTATCTCGTGCGTCGCGGACGTGTATACTCGTATATACCCGGGAGATGAGGGCCAAAAATAAGGTGAAATGAAATAAAGTAACAGAGAGCACAGAGACAAGAAAGCAAAATGGCAGAATATACTGGCCAGCCAAGGGAAAACGGTCTGGATGCAAGAAGAAGGGATTCAACAAGAGAGGCCAGCTGTGTCGATATGCGAGGGGAGGAGACAGCGGAGATGCGCCACCGGTAGAACGGGCCAGGCTGTGGCGCAACGGTCGCGAGAGGGCCCAGGCTTCGCTCACGAAATGTCGGGGCGACAAAGGAGGACAGGGAGGAGAGGAACAAAGAGCGATGTCAGACCAGACATGCTAGCGGAGGCTCATTGTCTCGAGGGAAGGCTGGGAAAGGGTGAAAGCCGGAGAGAGAGGGGGAGAGAGGGAGAGAGAGGGAGAGAGAGGGAGAGAGAAGAAAGGAAGGAGGATGAAAAAAAGGTCGTCGACACGAGTGTGTGTGGTTGGGTGTGCTCGGGTGTGCGTGCGTGAGAGAGTGAGAGAGTGAGAGAGAGAGAGGGGGGGGGGGGGGGGGGAAAAGGGGGGGGGGGGGGGGGGGGGGGGGGGGGAAAAGGGGGGGGGGGGGGGGGGGGGGGGGGGGGGGAACAAGCGGGATGAGAGTGGAGAGAGAGAGAGTGACAATGTCCAGCGTGAAAGAGGAGAGGTCGGGGGCTGATGGATACGGTATTACAGCGTGCAGTGTACAGCGTGCAGCGTGCGCCTGTACAGCGTGCGCCTGTCCAAGGTAGTATGGAGGACGTCAGAGCCAACGTCGGAGGGAGCCAGACCGTCAGGGTTAGTGCCGAGTGGGAGCTTAATGGGAAGTCTTGGGTCGCTACATAGACGGACATGGGTCAGAGTATTATCCATCATCTATTATGATTGTTATTACAGTACCTACTGTAGGTACGGAGCATCGACCTAGAAATGGATGGACGGGGCTCGGGGGGGAGGGGGCGGTGGTCTCGCATCCTCCCCGGCTGACGCAGCACAAGCTCTCGACGTACACGGCTGTCACTGCACTGGCGTCTTATCATGATTTGCGAGTTGCGTGTCCGTATCGACGGAGTATTTTGATACTCTCGCCATGCAACCCATTGCTCACAGTTCTTGACGAGTCGTACCTAGGCCGGCCATCCAGCCCAGTCTACAAGTCCAGCGCACGGAAGGATGGATGGCCATGACGGTGAGACGGTGCGACGTGCTGGTACTCTCTGTATCTCACACGCGAATGCATCCGGCAACCGTCATCACTCGTACGACATCGCTCTCCCAACCCCCGTCTCCCATGCTACCGGTCCGAGGCAACACCTTCCTTCAGCAGCGTCTGCGCCGGTCCGGACCGCCGCACTAGACAACGTGTGCCAGCCTCCAGCTTGATAGCTTCTTGTCAGCCTCTCGACCCCGCATCGCAACCGTCCTCTCTTCACTTCCTCTCTAGCTTTTCAAAGTTGGCCGGCGTAGCAGAAAGTGTCTGTTGTCTCTCTCTGGTCTTGTCGCGTGGCTCTCTTCTTTCTCTTCTTTCTTTCATCCTCCCATCCACTCATTCTTCTGCTCCTCCGCTTACTGCCCTTCCCTTTCTGTTCTAGCCATTTCTTATCGGGAGGAGGATGGGTAGAGACTTGGACGACGACACGATTTCTACCAACCCCGACCTGCAACCCACCTACGATTACCACGCTCACCTGCCGATACTGGTATGGAGAGAGCATACTCGTAGCAGGTGACGATGCTCTGCCCAGGATAGATCACCCGAGTACAGATGGAAGGGGGGGGAGGAAGGGAGGATGGAACAAACACGTGAGTGGCGGCGGGCCACCCACACATGCATGGAAACGGGGAGCATGCCGAGTGATGGATCGAGTCCCAAGTGGGCCCCGCTCGATTGGTCTGGCACGACGTGTAGAGCATTCCTACAGGGTACGGAGGGGAGTGGTTGCTGTCAAGAGGGAGGGATGATATGGGATGATGAATGGGTGCGTGTGAAATCTAGGTGGCTGGTTTATGTGGGACTACGGGCAGAGTACGAGGACCCAACCGGCTGACCGATTGGCTTGGCTGGACGATTTCTCTGCCAATCTGCGTGATACGAGCAAGCTACATGCATGTACTCGCGGAGTCGTGATACTTGCACGGCTGTACTTGTATTCCGCCGTAGCGCATCATCACTCGTAGCAGTCCTTGGTCTTGACCACTTCTAACCCCACCTCGCATAAATCGACAGTACTCTCTTTTCTCCCGTACTCTCGGCTTCAGATGAGTATTACCAAACGAACGACGGCTGGTCAGAAGGGGGGGTGTTGGAGTTGGGGTGGGTGAGGTTATCACAGCTGCCCTTGCCACTTGTGGTTATGATATTACCAGCAGTGCCAGTACTGATATATATACATATATATATGTGTGTGTGTGTGCATGTGTGTGTGTGTATGTGTGTATGTGTGTATAGGTACTGATATGACCTACTTACCTACCCACAGCTGCACGAGCAAAGCCACGCATCCCGTACAGCTCACACGCAAGGACAAATCATTCTTTGCCCACCACTCAGGTACCGACAGATCCCTTCTTCGATTCTGCACCCGTACAGGGGACCTTCTCGTTGGCACCTTGGCCTGTGTACATTCACCACTCGTAGTGATACTGCCTACTGGTAGTATGACCATTACAGCGTAGGAGGATACGCGCATTACATACATGCACCTGTAGGGGGGACCTTCGTCTTCGGCAGCCCCGCCCCTCAGCCAGCCTTGTGGCTCGGCGGGTGAGCCTCGTACTCGTAGTCGAGGTGTGTGGCGACTCGGATTATCGATTCAGCCACGTCCACACGGAGGGCCGGCCAAGCCACAGTTCACCACTGGCCTCGGATGGCTACAAGTGATACCGGGTCACACCTCCGCCGCACGCACGTCTAAATATAGTTACGGAACGAGCACATCTTCTCTGGTCGTGATTCGAGGCCTCGTAGTACGCCAAGTCATGTGGCAAAAACCATTGTTCTCTCTCTCTCTCTCTCTCTCTCTCTCTCTCTTCGAGTCAGATGCGTCAAGAATGACGGTGCTTGTATTACCCTCGTATCAACGGTGAAGACGAGGATTGGAAAAATGGCGTGTCATGGTTGTTGTTGTTGTTGTTGTTGTTATTGTCGGTAGATTATCACGTGATGATTTGGAGAATTAAAAAAAAAAAAAAAAAAAAAAGGTATCGGATCGTGATACAAAGTGTGGGATCACTGCTCATTCCGACATGCAGTTGCCACTTATTACATA